ACCAATTATAATGCCCCCCTACATTGCTGATCCCAAAATAAAATTACTGACCATTAACTTCTCGGCTAAGAGCACGTCTCAATTAAGTCACTGATGATTCATCTCCACTTTCTGAGAGGAAAAGAAACAAAAACGAGTGAAAACAAACTGCTCAGATCAACAAAAACATGCGTTTAAAGAAAAGATGTTCTCAGATGCAGTTAGTTAAGACTGCTTTTTCTGCGAAGTAAGATTAAGCCAGTAACCCTAAGTCGGTACAAAAAAGTAACAAACTTTGATTATCACTTTACTGGGATTTTATTGGTTGGCGTCTATATCAAAATTTAAGATCAAGTCTCAGTAAAAATGAAAATATTGACAACGATTTTTCCGTTTTTTGGTAGAGCTAGAAACCGAAGCCAAGAATGTATTTCGCGAATTTCTGATAGCCATGGAGTATAAGGATATTGAACGGTTCTTCAACGAGTGGAAGATGACATTTAAGAGCGATGGACCATTCACATCTGAACAGGATCTCGGTAATCTGGAGAAGGCAATGACCGATCCTAATGATTTTATGGTAGGGACATTTCTAAAGAGTTCAACTAAAATAAGCTAATGGTGTGTAGGGGAAAAGAGCGTGAATTTTCCAAAAGAAATTTAAGCCATTTTTACTACTGATAAATAATACAGAAGTACAAGTTTGGAAAATATTAATTGTGATAGGCAGCCTCACACGCTAAGGACAGCAAACGAATTACAACTAGAACATTTTTTGTTCAAAATAACATTAGACCTTGCCTCGTCCCTTTTATGCAGTTTACCCTTAAAGTGGGACTCTCTCTGTTTTTGTACATTAAGAGGTCAATAATGGCATAAATTGATGTTCTTTTTATAATAACCTTAATCTGTGGAACCTGCATTAAGCGGTCAACCTGTGTCAAGTACTAATACCTTTTTTCAGGCTCACAGTGGTAAAAGCTGGTGTTGATAAAAAACAAATTACAATTCTTTACAACAGTTTAGTAAGACAACTACGTTTCAAACAACCATGATTTACAGTACTGACAGCATTTAGAAGGATATGCAGACAAAGTCCCAAGCGCAAAGGTTGAGACACTAGTCTTATTGTCTCTGAACGCTTAGCTTCAGTTTCAATCTCTTTCTGTTTTCTTCTTATCTTTTATAACTGTCTTCACCAATAGACAAGCTTGTATATTGGCGATCTTCTAACCAATCGAGACGACGCAGATCAAGCAACAGAGGCTTACAAAGAAGCATTTGTGTCAAAAGACGATGAAAGAGTAAGTTTTGGCATAGGTATAACTGGACGTATAAGTAAAATGTTGTTATAATTACTATCATCATCATTATCATCGTCATCATCGTTGTCAATGTCAGTGTCATTCTCGTAATCACCATCACTATTGTTATCATCAGTACTTTTATTTTATCATCATTATTATTAACATTTGATTTGAAAAAGAAAGGTCATGGGTGATGAAATAAATAGGTTCTGAAAAGAATATCAGTAGCCATTCCTAGTTCACCTGGGAATCTGATTTTCCACCTGAACTCTTGTTTTAAAATCTTGTCATTGTTGTTGACATTGATCTCCATATATCTATGCACTACCCACCTATTAGTTTTCGCGCGATTCTATTGGCTACGTTATATCAAGTAGTGCAAAATCATAGGACAGTTATTGGACAATAACCTCCTTCTACGTCGTTACTTGTCCTCTGATTATTTCCGTCGAAAAGAAAGCTGTTTCACTTTTTCATCTTTGATATTCACAGCGAATTCGTTTTGTAGAATCCAGTAGTAGTGATAGTAAAAAGCTGTTCTAAAATGCTGCTCCGGAAAGTACAAAAAAATCCACAGAATTCACGGTCAACTTGCGTTACAAAAATTAATGGGAGGGTTATTGAATAAATATACCCCCTTCTGGTTTCGTGATATTTCAACTGATAATGTCCTTGGCTGAGAGATTGTCCTCTAAATGTCACAATTCCCCAAGAAGCTTCGCTTCTCTACAAAATATTCAGTTTTCGGACAATAACTCAGCCGCGAACATTATCAACCGACATACCAGTTACCTGAAAGGGGTTCATTTACTAAATCAAAACAAAAAAAATTCTACAAATTCAGATACGACGAAAAAACGTCTGAAATGCATACAAAAAAAGGAAAGATTCATATGGCCCACTGACTGAAGATGCATAGAGGTGTACGCCATTAATCTTGGACTTCCTTGGTGATTATGTTTCATTAGGTGGCGTTGTTCTACCTGGGAGATGATGACATCATGCACGGGGTGCTGGCAGCTGGTGTCAGATCCAATATGGATGCAGTCTTTTTGGTTTTTCTAATAGATTGAAATATGAAATTAAAAATACCCACATTGTATTGGGGGCAATAAATTCTTTAAATTGCTGGTCATTGGTTTGTCCATTTTTAAACGATCATGTATGACATGTTGTGGAGATCGAGAGACTGCTTGCTACGAAATAACCGGACACTTTAGAAAGATGCAGACTTCATATTGATACTGTGAAGTCATATTCTAATGCTTTTTAGAGATTTCTCTCCAGGCTTTTCCTTAAGTTTTGTGGGTTCGGTATCTATGGGTGGCGGTGTTTCTCTTCGTTTCCTTAGAAATGAAGCTTATCTGTTTTGGCCCGGGTGAAGTCATTTTATTTGGTGGGGTGAGCGATCATTCGAAAAAAAAAGTTTGTATTTGAAAATCAGAACAGCTTCGAGCTTGAAAAAAAAATGTAAACAGCAACTTCCACGTCGAAAACAAAAATAATGAAGACGGAATGGAAAAAAAATCATCCATTTAAAAAGCCGATTGGTAACTGTGTAATTGAATCAATTTACCCGTCATTGGAGACAAGATATCAGCTAAGTCAGCAGACAGATCGTAAGCGAAGGTGTTCATGCATGATTCAATGGTTCTTTATGGTATCTTAGCTTTTTGCACCTTTTACCTAAGTCTGATCTTGTTGAAGAGTATATAGTTTCCGACAGATGACCGCGATAGCTCAGAAATATTTAATAAAAAGACGTGCTTTCATCGGTTGCAATCGCATCAAGTATTACTGTATTTTGTGGTTTTGACTGATTCTAACTTCTATACTTAAGAGAATGCATGTCTGCAATAATCAATATAAAATCATTTTCTAAGCTGTTCCCAAAATTTATGAGGGCCTTTACCGGACAGTAGTAGGCAGATTCGAGTTTAATGATCAAATTCTTATTGATCCCTAATAGAAGTGGACTACTGTACTCAAGGTGTGGCAGGATAGAAGCCTTGCACAGCATAAGTGCAACATAACTAGGTAACAACTTTTTTAGGCGTCTTGAAACTTCAATTATGAAGCTGATGTGTAATCTGTGAAGGAATGCTTGTTGTCAATGTGAAAAACAAGAATGTTTAAGGAGCAATTTATTTTAATAGAAGAATCACCAATACAAAGAACAGGTTCATGAGCGGAGTTACCCAGGGTCTTTGCTTGGGTTTTCTTGCTTCTCATTGTTCAGTGATTAGAGAGGAAACAGGATGATAACCTTTTTAGATCTTGGTAAAAAAGAGTTTCAAGAATTAGACACATTAGCCTCGAGAGAATACCTTAAGGAACACTACAAAGCGCAGATAACCAGTCAGAAAAATTCAATCTACCTTCACTGAGGAATCACCTTAATTTTTTTACTTCAGTCATAAAGGCTGCCTTCTAAGCCTCTATTATATATCATTCTGCTTTGCCTGAGCAGTCGCTGACCAAATCCGTCACTGATTGTGCCATGAAGCTTCTAAGTTGACAACTACTTCGGCAGCAGGTTGCATTTTGACGAGGATATCCGCAATTTTGTGGCTACCATTTTTCGGAATCAGCACCAATTCGTACCTCCCTCTGCATTCTTGACGTTCATCCAGAATTGTGCTCAATTTCGTTGTGAAAAACATCATCTAAGTAACAAAAAGGGTCTTAGTCAGACAGAGGTTAAGAAAAAGCAAAATGTCATCATCCATTTACATAGACTCCATAAAACTGTTCAGTGAAAGGTGATATGAGTTTGTGGGAAGATGAAAAAAGTGGCACGGACGGAGTTTCAGGCGGTAAGCCACTGGTGCTGTTGCAGCCTCTCAATGGTTTTTATGATCTTATTACTGAGGGGATACTTATAAATCAACACAGAATTAATTTGTTTTTATACAAGCATCTGAATAGTTAATCCTTGGAGAATAGTCATTGCTTATGGTCTATAAGAGATCTGGCACTTGACTCGCTTAAGGGATAATCTGGTTTCTTTTTTTATTTTTGTAAGAAGGCGCGCAGTTTAAAAATTTGTGAGTTCGGTCGGAGAGGCTGTTTCCTAACAAAGCATGCGAGATAAGATACAACTGAGATGGACTTCAGATCGTCAAACACTCCGAAGCAAGTTTGTCATTTTCTTATCTTTCTTTTCTGTTCTATCAAAAAAATTAACTACCAGACAAAACCAAAACAAGACAATAGCAAATTAAAAAAAAACATTTAGACTCTGGTATCTATAAAAATCTGCGAGTGTGATTCCAAAAGGTTATATTAACTTGAACCATTTACTGAAATAATCCAAGTATTTAGCATCATATATAAATTAAGTTACAAAAACAAAAAATTATCTGTTTAGGTGGTAAATACAGCCACTAGACTTAAGTCCCGAAATCTGACAGTGATCGAATAAAGGGAGAAAAGTTGGTGAGGACACTCAAGTAAGAAAGGCAGCAAAGTTTTGTGAAAAAAATGTACTGACGTACCAGAATCACTCTTATCGCACTCAAAATACAGTTCATTCTCTTTTCAGTTCCTCTGTATCGCTTGAATACCAAGTGGAAATAGCTAACTGCTCTTCGGAACCATCGACGACTGGACTCGAAGAAAAGGGGGAGATCGAGCCTTTATGATTCTACGATGGATACCACAAAAAGAGGGTTCTAATAGACTACTTTAATTTCTTTTATCTTGCAGTTTAAATTACACAGAAATTCGTAGAAACTGAACACTGCCTACCAGATGATCCCGCTCTAGAAGAGTTATGGGGGGAACTTTCTCAGAAGACATTTCATACATGGACGTGAGAGGCGTAGCGTACTCCAAGACAAGGTGGGGCTCTTCCACTTTTCCATCAGGGGAAGGCGTCTCTATCCGATACACTGTATGTTGGTGGCTTCTCTCTAAAATTCCAGCCCTGTTAATTTTACTCGCGGGGAGTTTGCCAACCAATTTTACCCTGGGATCTGCTTTAGAGATTAAATCAAATGTGTAGCAGTCTTTGGGCAGTAAAATAAATAGCTTCTTGTTTTTTATCTTATAACGGAATAGCTCCGAGGCGGCAATTTGATATTCCAATCTTGGCAGTACCAGTTTCAGATTGTCATAGTAATAGTTCCGAGCCAGAATATCAGCCGCACTCTTGATTTCTCTTTCCTTATTTAGAATGCCAGCAAAGAACAACCACTGCGGGACAACGAAACAGAACAGGAAAAGTATGATGGCATAATGCGGACGAGAGAGAACCTCGTAATGTTCAAAAAATGTGTCACAAAGTGGTAAAGCGGAAGCGATTGTTACGACTAAGATATGCCATCTGTTGTAGTCTTTCCAGTCTCCTTGATATCTTGCGTATTTAATTCGAAAAGTGTCAGACTTGAAGTCCAATCTAAGCACTAATGCCCTGAGCGCGGAATTAAGATTCCAAGCGCCTACTACTACGCATAGTAACAAAAAAAGGAATACGTCCTTCTTCACGTCCTCCGTCGCCAAAATAGATAACATTACGCTTACCAACACAAACACGGTTGGGGGACAATTTGCACGAGGAATATAAAATCTTGCCAAACTAAATGGATTGTCAGCCACGATGGGTACAATGACCTCCTCTGAAAAGAGAGATTTTATGTTACTCAAATGACTATTACAAAGAATTATTAGAGAGCAGAGTAAACAAACAGCTTTCCATTTTATTATGGGCGGGGGGTCCGTTAATCGTTACTTAATCCGTCTTATTTTCATATTCATCATTAACTACATCAATAATATTCTCGGACTATAGCTAGAAGGTCTCTCTTGTTCAAACAGAAGGATGAAAGAGATAATTCAGTCGATCTCGACCTCTCGGATGGATTCGAAACAATGGATGAAGAGAGAAACGCAAAGGTAATAAGAAAATTACGAAACTGCCAAAGAGCTCATACCTGAGTAAGAATCCGGAATCGCAATTACCTGTGATGACGTCGTCTGTAAACACAAGGGACCGTCTGAAAAATTTCAGTTTCAACTTAGCGTTTTATACAAGGTTAAAACAAAAACAATGGTTGATAACTCACACCTGCGTGAGGAGCTGGAATGTAATTTACTCTGATGACGTTGTTTAAGCGGGAAAACATCGCTCTCCGTCGATTTCAACTTATATGATTTAGACGTCATCAAGGTAAGGTGCCAAGAGGGTAAGTGCCAAGAGGGCACGGTATGGAATGCTAAAATCTGATTGGTTCTAAGCACTGTGTTCATCGCCTTCGTCCTCGTGTATCTTCATGCACACCTTTTCACTTTTCAAAAGTTTTTTGTTTTTTTTGTTTCTTTGTTACTGAACTGAGTGAATGGATTAATAAAATCGTTCCTGAATCTCGTCCTTCCTTAGCCCAACACATGCACTTACGTTTGCAAACATAACCTGGCAGATGTTTTTACTCTATCCTCATCGTCTTAAACATCATCAACATTATTCTTAATGTCTGTTTCAAATACTGACATAACATAATGGTAACAATGATTATGATCTACGCAACAATGAAGTAATTCATACCATTCTGAGGAATCTCTTCCGTTACTGGATTCACAGGAAATTTCGGAATATGTGCTGCAGTGTCGCCATAACCATCACCATCAGCTGCAATTTCCTTGTTAACAGACGGGCTTTCGTTGGCAAGTTTTGCAGTAGCTCCTTTAGAGGTGCGAGAGCCAAAGTTTTGCAATGCAGTGTCGCCATAACCATCACCATCAACTGCAATTTCCTTGTTAACAGACGGGCTTTCGTTGGCAAGTTTTGCAGTAGCTCCTTTAGAGGTGCGAGAGCCAAAGTTTTGCACGGGCCTCCTTGTTAAAACGGACTCGCCAGCTTGCGGGTTCTCGGTTTCTTCTTCAGCGTCGTAGTAATGCTCTCTGTGGTCGTCGTGGTCGTTGTCAAAATTCATACCATTCGTAAATCTGAATATATTCTGAAGAAGGGTTTTACACTGTTTCTCCCAACTGTACATCTCTTGGTACAAAAGACGTAATTTTCCACTTTCTTTTAGTCTCGTGCACCTGTCCTTCTTGCGGATGCTGTCAATTGCTTCAGCCCACGCGCCAGAGTCATCTGATGAAACAACAAAATTAGGACCAAATGGTATTCTCCTCAAAGCTTCGGCCAATCCTGAGTTCGAACTGACGAGGATGGGTAGACCGGCTGATAAAGCTTTAAGAAGCTTAAAACCAAAACCTTCTTCCCTCGAGGGCATAATAGCAAGATCTGCTTCAAGAAGCACCTTCTTTAACTTTTCCTGGGTGTGGATAACGCTTCGTATCACGAAAAATTTAGGATCGATACCACACTCAACGAACCGCTTTTTTGTCTCATCTTGCATCCCATCTAGTGCACCGACAAATAAAAGACGACAATCTCTCAACGTAGCGACAGCTTCAGCTGCAATGTCAAGTCCTTGTAGATCAAAGTCTTTCAAATCTCCACTGAAAAAGCATACGACTCGGAAATATTTTAATTCCTTTTGACTTTGTCTCAATCCAGAAAGCTCGGTCAGAATACCAGGGGTAAAATTGTAGACATGTTCATCTTTCTCATAAGGGCGGAGATAGGAGCAAAAAGTTTCATGTACCTTGGGTCCAATTGTTACGACAGAGTCAGAACTTTTGCAAAGTTGAACTTCTATATTATGTTTTTCCTCTGTCTCTGTTCGATTTGAATTCTCCTTGTGCTTTTCAATGTCCTCATGGGATCTATGAACAAATTGGACCCATTTACAGTCGGGGGATCGGGAATCCCTTATTGCTGATGCACGGCGACCGAGCTCGATATCACTTCCTACAACAATGTCAATTGACATCTCCTTTGGCGCCCAGCTGAGAAAATCCAGTCCAGCGAAGCCAATTTTTTTATCTGCCATAACAAGGTTGATGTTTTGACGTTTAGCTGCTTCCTTATCTTCATCATTACATTCAGGAACAAGGATAGTTATGGTAACCTCAGAGCTCTTAGCCATGTATTTCGCTATTTCTTTGATTATCTCAGTTTCGTCGCGGAGTTCGTTCCACCCACGTGCCAGAAAAGTGACTTTGAGCTTTTTTGCGGTTGAATGGTGTCTGCTGCGGCTGTCGCTATCTTCCACATTTAGAGCAGAAGCAGAATTCAAAGGTTTCCTCTCCTAATACAACAGTTTAAGAAGATTTGTTAATGTGGGACCCTGATTTGGTAATATGCATCTCCTAAGTAGGTAATTCCTACAACTCATACATTTTCTCGCGAGAACCGTGAGAAAATGTATCGTGAGGAATACTTATAAGTATAGAGTCAAACATAACACTATCATCTAGTGGCCATTGCTTTAGGAACAGATGGCTCTAAAGCTTGTGCTAAACAGGAAATACTCAGCCAAAATTCTCCAGTATAGTTTGTGAGTGGATCGTCTATGGGGTGAAATTCCCCAACGCGATATTTGTTTGGTTTCTAATGAATATCGACACTAAGCATAATGAGGGGGTGTTCAATTCATTTTATTATACCATTATAATTAGTATATTTTTTGACAATGTATCCCTTTCTAAAATTGGAGTTTGGGTTTACTTAAAGAGCAGAGATGAAACTTTTTTAAAATCTGCTTGAATAATAAAGGACTATCCATGTACTCGACGCTCCCCTCCCCCTACCCTCTTAACCCCCATGCAAACTTGTACCCCCACCGTAATACACCCTCCTTTAATAGATAGCCTGTTATGTCGTCTACAAGACGATGTTAGTATCATGGGATGCATATGCAGATGAAGTTGCTAGGGGTCAATGACGTCATCCAACATGCCGGCATTTTTTTTTCACATTTTTCGGCATAGAATAATTAAACTAGTACTTCGTGCGTAAAGTGATGTATCTGATCGGGTATTTTCATGGCGTTAAGCGCGTAGATTGTCAAATGAAACCACGTCTGATGGGAAATTAATACCAAGGAATCGCTGTAGAACGTGAGCAAGCCTTGATTTCCAAAATTAAAACCGTTTTCAACGCTATGACTGAGTACGATTTCAGTCCCCAAGTGTGCTAACAGAATAGCTACAACAAAGAGTGGCGCTCATGGTACTTGCATAAACGATTCCCGATATTCCAAACGGTAATTCGTTCGGGTTCTTCCATTTTCCTGAAGCAGTTAGACAAAATAATAGAAGGTAAAGGTGAAAAAGGTCATCTCATCGAGGTGACGCGTTCGTGAGTACTGAGGAAAGCTACGTGTCTACCAGAATAAACCGTCAAAAATAAATTAAAAAGACTGGTATTCCTTTAACTTGTCCGTTTTGACTTTCTCTAAAGGCTGCATTTCAGCTACATATACATGAACACCTTCTTGTTTGAATTGAGCCGTTAACAAAGATTCCACCCCACCACCATTACATATTGGCGATAATCTCCAAATGATTCATGGCGCATCACTGCCTAACGTAATCGGTGGACTGGTAAATCAAAATGATTGAAAATGTCCTGCAATCCAAACGGCGGCGACGAGTTAAAATTGTCTACATTTATAGGAAAGATGGATTGGGAATTAGTATCTCATGAATTATTCAATTGTCCAAAAAGAGGTGGCGTCGTCTTCGAAATATGGATTCACTCGCAGAACGAATTTTTCGACTGCGGAGGCGATCTCCACAAACGAAGTCTTCAAAGATCTGCTCGCTGAAATTCCCCTTTTCCTGCAGATGTTTTTTTAAGTTCTGCCACGTTCACAATGTTGAAATCGGTTCTTATTCTGTGATATGCCATTCTGAGCTATAACCGTTCTTGAACATTGAACTTGAATCACAATACAATACGATATAATACAAAATACCGCATGGGAATCAAGGCTTGCTCACGTTCTACGGCGATTCGTGGGCACAAATTTCCTACCAAACGTGGGATTACTTGAAATCTACGCACTTAACTCCCTGAAAATACCTGATCAGATACATCAATATACGCACGCAGAACTACTACATTCTTCGTGGTAGCGAAATATCAACTCACTCAATAAATAATAAAACATATGATACAACAAAGAAGTCAATTTTGAGCACAGAAACTCTTCACGACAGTAGAAATTATCTACAACAAAATGCCGAAGCCAAAGTTCGTAGACGGGTAGTGGTTGACTTCATGTCCGAACTTTCGCGGTTTTCTTTCACTACAGGTGAAATCTAAAGCCTAAGAGGTGAATTCCCTGTTTAAGAGCAGAATGGTCAGTTTAAGGTGAAGAGTCCTCCTTTACTTAAACTCATTCTGATGCCAGTAAAACATGCATTTGAATTTACTTATGCTATTTACTAACTGAGAATAGGATTTTTTCGTAATAACCGATAGAATTGAGTAATACTTTCCGTACGTTAAATGAAAAATCGTCGACAGTCATTAAACTTGTGTTCTTTGCCAAACACGGACTGTTGTTGTTTTTTCTCCATTTTTTCCCACGCGCCCTCAACTTGACGTGTGTCGGATTGCGGCAGATACTCGTAAAACAAATTTTCAAAGTTTGTTTGAAAGCCCACTTTAAATCATTGTCGTGATAATCTTGTAAGCCTATTGCGTGACATTTATGTTCTAATTTAGTAATTAAGCAAAGGGTTGATGACAGTTGGGTTACTTGAGATTTAGATGTATAATTGAACGTAGCACGGCAATGGCAGACTTGTAGTAAGAATGTTCGTGATACAGAAAATCAATAATGGTCTGAAATAATAAGATGAGGAATTGCCTGGGGAAATTGTACGTGCGCGTTCGAGTTGGAACATTGTTGGAACACGTGACGTTGCGTGATGTATCATTCGTGCAGCAAATAGTGCGTGCGTGCGGCTGTAAATTACAAAAGTGTTGATCGGCGTGTAATGGGAAACAGCTGTTAAGATCAAGTTGACAGGAAATACACGACTTTCATAACGGCGGACATCGCGAGAGTCATGGATCGAGTTGCATGAAAACGAGGTCAGAAAGGCCAAACTTAAAGGGCATGTAAACCCAAAAAACGTTCATTTTCTTTTCACATAGATGTTTAGTAAATATATCAAGTACACCAAAGGTACCATTCGTTTATTCTCAAAAGTCCATTTTCACTTTGTAAAAGCTCTTCCAAATTCGAAACATTCGCCATCTTGAATGGCGCCATCTTTCCTGTGACGTCACGGATGGACCCTTAAAGTCTCGTTTTATAATCGCGTGAGGCACGAAGGAGTCTTTTCTACAGCCGTTGTTTGCTGGTCTCGTCATGATTTTTTTACTTACAGTTTGCTTCAATATAATCAATTTTTCGTAATGGTGAAGCGTTGTGCCGTCCAGTTTTGTACTGATTCAAACAAAACTGGGCATACAATGCAAATATTTCCAAATGACGCAAATTTGGAAATGACGCAAAATGAAGCGACAATTTGTGAAATTTGTTCAAGTGAAAATAGCCGATTTCGTTGAGCCGTTCGAACGTTCTGTTGTTTGTAGCAGTCATTTTTCTTCCTGGTGCTGTACCGACGATTCAGGCCTCACCAGAAGCAAATTATTCGGAAGACGAAAAACAACCCATACAGTCGGCAGACGACGAGGATTCGGAAGTGGCTGACCAAACTGAGAAAGAAGTTGAGCTCTTCAAAAGTAAGAGGTCAACAGAGAAAGTACAAAATCGATTTACATGAGAACGTTTCGTTAATTAAACAACAATAGCTTTATTGGTTCTCTAAAAACATCTTTTTTCTCATCTAATGAAAGATTATGGGGAAGCCAGTTGTTTGGGAGCCAGCGCTGAGCCCGTAAAAGACACTGACATGTCTGAACCTTTGCCTGAATTCGAAACACGTATCAAAGAAAGAGAATTCAATTCGTTGATATCAGTGTGTAATAACGTGATCTGGAATTTTGTTGGTTCTATACAAAGAATTCTATACAGGATCCCATAATCAACCCTTATGTTCTATAAGAAAATCCATGCTTAGTGCTTCCTTTGAGAAACCCTGCAGAGAAACAGCAGAAGAATTTGTGTCGCGGTTTTCACAGCAGTGAAAATACATTCAAAGGTCAGTAGGATAATATTCATCATTTTGAGTACAACTTAAAAGATCCTGATTTCAGCATGCAAAACTATCTTTTCAATATTTCAAATCGAAGCAAACACAAACAGGGTTGGATAATTATGAAGGCCACACAAGGAAATGTACATGATACAACTTGTTTATCGATGGAAATGCTTCTGAGATGAAGGATATTGTTTACCGCACAAGATAGCACAGCGACCCTAAAGTGTTTGCCGAGATATCCCCAACACCAACGAACAAGCTATCTGTAGGCAATTTAGCGAAATTTCCTGCCAGGAAAGAAGCGAAAAACAGCTAGCTCTAGTACTGTATTATTAAATCAATGGCAGAAACAACTCAAGTAAATCGATCTCAAAATGTAACAAAACAGATGAAACAGAAAATATTTAGCTCAGTCGTTTCCGGTGTGATTATCTGTGCTTTGCTGCTGCCTGTAAGCGTACTTGGCCGTCTCCAGCACCCAGAAATCGAGGCAAATTGACTGAAAACCTGGATGCTCAGTGATACAACTTATCTGGGTTTCAGGCCATTTTGCCACAATTGCCCGATTTCCGTACAACAAACACTTTCATGAGTTGTCGGCATAATGGTTGACAAGTTCCACACTCGCACCTTTGATAATTTTATATAAAACACTCTCAGAAGCTCAAGTTTAAAAAATTCTGTTGCATTCCTTTAGATTGTACCCTCGCTTTATTGCATTTTCATGTTAAATACAAATAAATCACAAAGTAAATTAAATACCAGTCTGAGTTTCCGAGACGGTCGCATCGCTGTCGACATGTTCTGTACTGTCTTCGTGCGGTCGCTTCGGTGAACCCTACGCGGCTCATATTGTTAAGGACGTGGCCCAGACTCTCCTGAAGATTCTGGATTATCCCCAGCGCTGTCATGTACTAAGCTTAAGGCATTCGAGTCGCTATCTTCTGAAAAAACATCTTCCGAACTACCGCTACTTACACGAACTCCCACACCAGTTCTACTGGGGAATATGTGTTGCGCAATATTTTGCCGGGTTCCACCGCTTACATCACGACTTCTCGCTATTGTTTTTACCGGAAATGGAATTTCAGTTGAAAATGCCGATTTTCTCCTAAAATAAGTCGAATTGGACAAAACTAATTTCAAATTCGTTTTCTACGCCACTTTTTACATAGTATAAGAAACACATGTATTTTTGGGTTTACATGCCCTTTAAACTATCGCGTCGCGTCCCTCTTCGTTTGTTATGGCGAGCACTTCGAATATTTCAAAATCCGACATTTCTTACGGTAAACGATATACCTGGCGCTTCTCTTCTCAGAAGAAAACTTGAGGAGTTAAAAACCTCAAAGATTAAATTTTGGCTTAAATGTTGCGGAGACGCGGTGAAGCGAGGGCATGACTACATACAACCCTGGTTTCTGGGCCGAACAAGGGCAGAAATTGCTTTCTTATTACCTTGAATATTTTATCAAGTTCGCGTAAGCAAAGCTTTTCAATTGAAATTGTCTGGCAAATAACAACAATGATTGTGAAGTCTTGTGAACAGCTACATCTGGTTGACCCTGTCACTTACAGTTCTCCTGCAAAAGCTATTTTGTTATGACATCTCTGTTTTTTATCAACGGAATTGATAATACTATGCTTCTACATTCAAATATTCTTAATTGTGGTGAATTTACTTGTTGACTGGGAATTAATACCTTAGATGAATAAATTATTCTTGTTTTGTTGCTTTAATTTGTTGTGGGTTGAAATTTTTCCAACCAGTTTGATTTTTAATCTCCTTTATTTCAAAGTATGCTAGAGAATACAAAGGAAAATTAAAACCAAACTGGTTTAAACATTTTGCACCAAAGATAATTTAAATACAACATAGACAACATGATCTTCACAGACAGAAAAGAAGTCACTCAATTATGATGTAAACCTTACAATAAATATTCAGAACAGAGGGGAAAATAATGTCTTTATCTGAATGCCTAATTTGTAGCCCCTTACAATCTAGGGAGAGAAGAGATTTGTAGGCAATTTATGAGTTAAGTAATTCATTCATGCCTCACATGAATGTGAGAGAGACGTTAAAGTTGTCTAAGACGTTAAAGTCGTCTCGAGACGACTTTAACGTCTGAGACAACTTTAACGTCCCTAGCATAAAAACGGCCAATGTCACTGCTCCACTGGGAGAAATACCAACCAAACCTTTCAAAGTGGTGTGATTTTTGTGAGCACTGAAAAGTTCTCAATTCAACTGCAAGCTGCTTGGCATTTGACATATAACCTCAGTACAGTCAATTATGACTCTAGTAGATTTGTACCTTCCCTTAAAAGATTTGGGCATTGTATCAATTACTTTTCTGGTGGGCCAAATGTTTATTTGTCCAAACTTAAAGAACACAAAATTGACCCATGTGACAAATATTCTACTTACTGTGGATGCTGATACATTAAATAATTGAGCTAGATAGTCCTCTGGGAATCCTTGCCTTAGTCTACACATGACTATAAAAAATTCATCAAGGGGCCTTAAAGATCATGACTTGAGATCGATTGAATGTAGAACGTTCGTTGTATGGATGGTAAGTAAACGCAAGAAATCGGAAAGATACAGTCCTATTGATTGTCGAACCGCAGGCGGCCCAAGCTTCAGCTCAGTGCAAGTAATCTGGAGCATGATAACCGTGAACAACACGTAAGGAACAATTCTCTAGAACGGTAAATATTATTTCAGAGGTCACGCGTCTTAAAAGTGTCGGTCAATGGAAGATTTTGGTTTCAATCGTATAGTTGCAAAAAATTCGCAATTTTTTACTCATAAATTGTAGTAAACTTCGGTGAATCAACCACGCGGGTCTCGTACACGCAAGAAATTCGTACATTTTTCGCTTCTATGTCCTAAACGAATCGTTCAACAGCAGTTTTTAATTCTGAAATTGAACAATTTCAGAATTTTTATCATAAACCTAGGCAAAGTTCTGGCCGTGAATTCTAGTAAACAACTATTCAAGCATGCTTAAAGGATAACTGACGGAAAACTTTTCCTCCTTTTTTTTTTGTCCTTATACATTCCCCTTTACTTAAAGAGTCCTAAATTAACTGAAAAACGTTTTGTACTGGAGTAAGCTTGAAATTAGCGCAATTTGTTGCGCCTATTATGGGAGGTCTTTATCTGTCTCTCATCTGGTTTTGTGAACGAAACTCTTCTTCCACGTTCCGGAAACGTTAAGATTTATCCTTTCTTTATCTTTTATAACGGAGACAAGTAAGAAGCAAAAAGGAAGACTTCTTACTTTTGTTAATCTCTAGTTGATACTTCTTCAGGGATGACTACAACTAACATTGAGCAGCATAATTATATAGTACATTCGTGTGCCTAAGTTAGACTTCCAATGGAAGTGAATAACAACAGAAACATGCTGTGAACCAACGTTACAAGAAACACCTTGTTATGAGCCTTACAATCAAGCGTTGTTTGTCATTTGTGACCGGAAACATGATGAAATATATCTTGTCTGCAAGGTTACTCATTTCAAAAATGTACCACACAAATTACTCACGCCCGTTTATCGTAAATAAACAAACCGACAGCCCGAGAGAGGAAACCATTAACGCACAGTGTCATGGAACTACCTTGCACCCACCGTATAAAACGCAGTATCTTGGTTAAAAAAACGAACCGAGTCAGCAACATAATCGTTCGACGGAAATAACAAGCTCATGTTTCTCAAATTACGACCTGAACTTTAAAAATATGTATTAATTTTCACGCTCAAGTTTTCCAAAACTGAACCACTCTTAGCCACATTGACATTTATAATATGAACAGAAAAACAACAGGATTTCAAGCGAAGAAAACGAAACCAGAGAAGCGTTGCGTAGTGATGTTTATAACAAAGCAAATGCAGACGGAGTTAGTCCTCAATAGTGTACATACGTGGAATGATCCAGTAACACGATCAAATTCGAAACGTTTTTAGCGGATGACTCACGAAACAACATTTAGGACAGTTTTCCGAGCGAAAGAAGGTACAAAGAGGCGTTCGAAGCACCCTGTATCCGCTTCAATGTGATACCTGAGGCCTTTAGATAGTATTCCGATAAAGTTACCTTTTATCCGTCTGTAACCCTCTGATACTACGCGGTCTGGTACATGCAAGGAATGCGTTCGTTTTAAGCTTCTTTGAATAAAGCCTTGGTCTGATCGTTTTTACCTTAGTCTTTTAGTCATAGTTTTCGGGTAGATCACGATTACCTGATAAACCCGACACAATAATATTAAAAATTTTTCTTCAAGCGCAACTTTTGTGCGCTATGTTGTAAAAGAATTTGTTCATGCTGTTGGCAGTGCGTATATGGAGTTATCGGGATGCTCTTTAGAAATTTGGAGAGCACCCAGGAAGGTTAAGTTGCTCTCGTGCTCTCCAAACTTCCTGCGTGCATCCATAACTCAATTTACGCACATCAAGCAAGAACAAGAGATTATAAACTCTCGGCAAGAACCAACTCTTTAAGTGATTTCTGAATGTCGCCTAACGTTCGAGAGGTCTCAGCAAACACTAACCCTCGCACATGCGAACGAGAGAAATCGAAATCTAACATGACCGTCTTTCTGGTTGTTCTGGTTGTTTGGTTGCACAGGTCGGTTTGTAAAGTATTATCTAGGTCAGATCCCAATGACCCGGGCCCTGCAACAATTCCTTAAATTAGGTATCAGGCCATGAGTTTTCGAATTAGTGATTAGGCTTCGGCCGTCACTCAGTCACATTGAATTAATCCTGAATGAGTTCTAGTCAGGTTCTGTTCAGGCACAGATTCGATAACAACGCGGAAAGGCAAACAAAGAGTTAACGAAGCCATTCGATCGAATGGGTACGCAAAAGGTTTTGACTAAGAATTCTACACTGCGGAGTAATGATTCACAAGTAGAGCATCGAATATTCCTACCTCCATTGTTTGCTGTGCACTCTTCCGCTCTCACAATTGCGTGTTCGGTTCAGGCACGGACTCGATAGCAACACGGTAAGGCAAGTAAATGGTTAACGAAGCCCGGCTGCATATTGTGGTAAAGCTTCGTTTAGCAACATTCACTGGTAATTTCTCGATCGAGTGGGTAGGCAAACGTTTTGACTAAGAATTCGAAACTGAAAAGTAACGATTCACAAGTGGTAGAAAATATCATCTACTAAAACATCGAATAATCCTACCTCCATTGTTTGCTGTGTACTCTTCCTCTTTCACAATTGCGTGTTCGTGACTCCACAAGAATTGTATCACAAACATCAATCATTTATTTAAGCCATTCCGCAGAAATGCCTTCAGTCACTAAATAAGCCTCCTTTATCTGAAATGCTTATGAATCGTTAATTGCCGGCTTCATCATAGTAGAGGACTGGAAATGAATCAACTTAAGGCGGGGGTAAACCTGAAATTTGCTCCAAAACTCAGTTTTTTGTTTTTCTTAGAATTTGTAGCTTTAGGTATTTAAATTTACTATGGAAAAATAATTTTCTACTTTCTATTAGATTATTATTTCTGGGAATTGAATTTGCGGCAATTTAAATACCCTGAGGTCCACATAAATTCTAAGAAATTCTCAATACCTTGAATGTGAAAGTTTTAAGAAAAGGAGTAATTTCAGAGGCTTAAAACTTCAGTTCAATAAAAGGTATGCTATACAAAACTTACCAGGCGATATACATACATGTATATGTTTATAACTTAAAGATCATGAAATTCATTATTCAAACTAAGTTTTAGTAAATCTTTACATTAATATGGATTTTCTCATGAACCAGCAGTCAGTTATGTTAAATGGAAATTTCCAATTAATCCAATGTATTCATATCACAGATTTGCTTTCTAACCTCAAAGGACTCTTGGATTCCATGATCAAAAAAAATTTTCATTGTGATGCAAATTAATGTCTCATGTTCACTGATGTGTCAAAATCATCAAACATTCATTAGCTGTTCCTTGGTACACAACTTCCACAATAATTAACAATAATTACATTGTTATCTACACTTAAAGAACTTCGTTAGTTATGAACATAAGTTACTTCCCTAACCTACATTACTGGTTGCCTTTGTTAGAAAACCTTGGAACAGTCAAGCTCAGTTGCCTAAAACACTGTCAGAGACTTTTTGTTGACATTATTTTTAGTAGAAATTTCATGCCTTAGACAAACAAATTCAACACCTAATTAATCTTTCTTTTTTCATGATTGTTGTTGCTGGTTTTTTTTTCCTATTTGCTCTGTTTTCGTGACTAATTGCTGTAATTTGTTTTGCTGTTTTTATTCTTACAAAACATTTTTGTAAGAATTCCAATACTTGTGGATCATCCACACACTTTGCAAACATTTGGCATGCAGACAAGACAGAGGTAGTCAATGTTCCCTTTGAGAAAAAACACCTTTTAAATGACGTCTTCAATTTACTTTATTTGAAACTCTGATCTGAAAATATTTGTCAACAAGACTTGTTAGTAGTGAGAAGTACCAACCAAGTTTCCTTTCATAACTTAATTTCTTAAATGTCCCAATCACTGGATCTCCCAAAAAATATTACATCTTTTTATTTTTGGTGCAAAATACAAGTCCTTCTTTATATAAAAATGAAAAGTGCAAGTCACACTTCAATAATAACAGCTCTAAAGTTTACTTGCTGTTTTTCTCTGTCTGTCAGCTATCAACAAAATTGTTTTATAATTCGAACAGTGCATAACTATTTGTGGACCAGAGTTCCAACGCACCTCTGTAATCGCATATAGTTACTTCTGTCTCTTGTACAAATGTTTCTCCTTTGTAAGACGCACTCTGCTCTGTTGTCACTACTGCTTTAAGTTCAGTGGAAACGACTGACTGAGGGATCGAGATGGCGGTGTTGGAACGTGTTGCTGAACGCTTGCTACGGTCAAGCTTTGTAGATTTAGGTACTGGAACACTGGGATCATCTATGTATCTCTTATACTTCCTAATGTGGTATCCTTCTTTTATAAATATGAGGGTATAAGACGATATGTAGTCGCATTCAAAACTGTGATTGGCTTGTGTTATTTCTCACCTTTGCCATGAACACAACTCAAGTGAGTTTCGAGTCTTTGTTTCCTCGACAACTTTCGGCCACAAATCGTGCATTTGTAATACGATTGATTCTTGTCGATTATTTCTACATAGAGTGAGCTCACATCATTATTTATATCACCAAGGTATCGTCTGGAAGCAGAGAACCGGTCGGAGAAGTCAGAATAAAGTTATGCGCTTCTCTTAACACTGCAATCGGCAAGCCAGCGGATTCACTTTGCTAGCCAATGACAAGTCCTAAAAGATCCACGTGATCATGCCCGTGATCGGAAACAAAGAAGACTCTATTTGGCGCTCATCTTTGAATGTACTTTTCATCGGTTGATCGCTTTTCTCAACTGTTTTGCTTAATATAACATTTCTAAAGATAGCTTTTATTGTGGTTCAATGGGAAAACGAGAACAACGTGAGTGTTGTAAAAGAATAGAAAGTCGTTGGTGCCGTGGAGTTAAAAGGGACAACAGTTGACATATTGACTGGTACAAACAAGGGTCGAGTGGCCATCTGTAAAGCGATTTTGAAAGTTTGTGGTGAGTAAAAATTGCGATATTCGTTACGTGATCAAAATCTTATAAAAGAATAGATGTAGCGGGTTGAATTAAGCTTACATAACGCTCGGCGCAACTGAAACTAGAATAATTCTGATAATCGAATCGGTCACTTGCATGCCGCAGTTTCTTAAGCTTATGCTTTACAATGAAATAAACCTATCAGTAAGGTTTCAAGATTCCTCTAGTCACGTTTGGGAACATTCAAGATTCATAATACGAACTGTTATTAAACAAACCTTATTACATAAAGAAGCCCTCCTTGGTAAAAACAAAATAATGTATTCAGCCCTTTTTTAGTAAAATCTACGAGAGAGATGTACAAACTCCAATATAAAAGTTACCCAATATAACAGAGATTTCTCAGTTTGAGAATCCAATGAATGCCCTTTTCCTCATAGCCATCTTAAAGGCCTGGTCTGAGCTTTAAATATATATATTTAAATATATTGTTTTTTTTCAAATTCAGATGGCATGGAATCCACGTACAAAATGGTCAAGCTTATTGTGGACAACCGCATTCAAGGCCAACTCATTGTGAGCCCAGGAAAAAAAATACAAACAGCAGTTAAGTTTGCAGTTTAGAATAACTTCATTCTAATTTATTGTTACAGTTACAACAAGATTTTAATCAAAAAATCAATTTTATTTGTCTGTAATTAACCCCTTCACTCCCAAGAGTGCTTGGTTTTCATATACAATTTAAGATATTGTATTTTATGGAAAAGAGTCAACAGATTTTATTCACAATTTGTGTTAAACCAAGTTTAACGATTGATTAGGACTATTTTGTATGAATAGCTGTAATTGAGGATTAATCCATATGAAGTTTTCAAGAAAAGAAAAATAACTCAAATTCCATCCTAATATTACCACAAGTTGATGTTAATAATTAATCAAAAATATTTTACATGTAAGCCTTAATTAAGCTTCTAAATAAATTTCATTGAATACTTGAATTTTAGCTGGGTTTTTTTTAATATAAAGTATTTTTTTTATATCATTAGCCTCAAATTTTTGCTTAAAATTCCCAGTAATTCTTAAACATTCCTAAAAATTCCCAAAAATTCCCAGAAATCCCTAGGAATTTTTGAGATTTACAGCTTTTCAGGGAAAGTCATTGGTTCTCTGAGTTGGAATTCCTAGGAATTCTAAGTCCTGTTGGCTATAAACTTGGAATTTCTAGGAATTTCTAGGTTTTTAGAACCAGAGTTGTTATGTTTGGGAATTCCTAGGAATTCCTAGGAATTCCTAGTCCGAATTTACCGTGAAAATTCACACCTTTATCCCTAGGAATTCCAAAAGCCATTTCGCAAGGGACATGTGTGAGAAAGGTGAGAAAGTCTGTATCGTTTTCTGTTCTCGATTATGACGTATTTCCTATACTTATATCCCTAAGTTCCAGTTTTTTCTCGCTGAATTACACTGATTTATCTATTAAATCTCCAAGAGAAAGACTTATAGGTATTGTGCATATACACTGTAAACAAAGAATTATGGGGGGAAAAAATCACAGAAAGTATATTTCGGACTTGAAGTCTTTACATAACTTATAATAAAATTGCCCAATTTATCTTACATTTTACACTTGATTTGTCTTTCTAGGCAACTTAACTTTTGAGGAAGATAAGAGTGCAAGAGAAGGGGAGATGTCAGTTTTCCTAATGAATGTGTCAACTCTATAGTGTGGGTACAGTGTCCTGAACGTAAGCACCATGGTGTGAAAGTAGTTTGGTGTGCCGCAGCATCAGCAGTCTGTCATTACCATAGTGGAGCTTCTTGTAGGCTAAAAATTATGGAGAGGCTATCTATCCCTGGTGGTGTATGCACAAGAGAGGCAGCATATGCAAAAGATGGTAAACAATTGACAAAGTCTGATTTGCAGGTTATGCAGAAGTAAAAAAGACAGTGTCAAGGGGTGCAACTTATGTGGACTTGTTGAGAGGAAGCCCTTCTAGAAGCTGAAGGAGTAACCTATAAACCAGGAGGCTTTTAGACAGTCCTGTGGACAAAGTATGGATAAATTTTGATTGCTATCCACAAATTTTAAGGCCAATTTTCTCATTAGGCAATAATTTTGTCTTCAAGAAAAGATATCTGGAGAACAATATATCCAATGGATCTGCAATTTCCAGTGTTTGTTCCTCTTGATAAGTTTGGTGTTATAAGCAGAGCAATTTTCCATAATATGATATATGTACTTAAAGTTATGAAGTGAAAAACCCCTCTAATTTCCCATGTCAAATTTAATTGCCCATCATTTGAAATGTTTCCACATACCAGAAATCCTTATGCTCAAAACAATAAGCAACATGTCTTCTTTGAATTGATTCTAAAAACATTTTTTTAGTAATGCCAGGAGGAGTTGTCTTTTCTTAAGTAACCCATGGTAGAACCCAGCAGGTGGCACAATTAAATGAGTGGTATCCTATTGATGAGTAGCACAATCACCATGCCCATAAGGGGTTGACTGCAAACTTTCAATGATTTCTTCTGTTTTACATTTTCATTGAAGCCAAATCTTTGCTTACAGGTAAAGTTGTTCTTATTGATTATAGTAAAAGCAAAAAATTAGAAAACCACATTACTGTCTTTGAGAAAATTCCCGTGAAAGATGAAAAAACGAGCCAATTTTGGTTGTAACGCGTAACACAATCTCAGTGGTAAAATTTTTTAAATACATTTTTCACTGAAAAGAAAGCTCGTTTGAGCAAACAAATTACACCTAATGATAACACACAATAAACACTACATTTTAGAACAAGTTTTCGGGTCCATATCTTTAGAAACGGCCAAAATATTCACTTTTGACCAAGTCGCTACGCTTTTTACCATGTTGACGCCATATTAAGAACGGAGTCTCGCCACAAATGCCACCAAAAGCGCTATGAAATCTGCTGTTTGCTCCGCCATTTTCGCCTTCATCTTTTCATCTCCGTGTCGAAAATAGCTTGGTAACCTTTCCTATTTTGGTTTCTGCGACGTTATCAAGGGTCGGGGGTCTTCAAGCTCAATAATTTTTCTGAGATTTAGCCATCCGTAAATATCGCTTCAAGTGCGCTTGACAAGAGGTATGGTTAACAAAAAGGAAGAAAAGCTTGCGAGGATCAAAGAGTGGAGGAGGAAAAAGCAGGAAAAGAATAGGCTAAGGAATCTAAAATATAATGAAAAGAATCGCAAAAAGAGAGCTGAATTTCCAAGAGAAAAATGGTGATGTGATCTTCAAGTTGTAAAAAGAGGCAGAAAGTCAGTTTTTAGAGTGCCAGTTGATCTCACTAGGGAGATACTAGCCTCCATGTAATACAAAATGTTATTATTTTTACTTTTTACTGTGTCAGTGAACTCGAAATTGATTATTTGTGAAAAAGACCACACCCACAAGGGATTATGGGTAAATACAAATTTGAATCAAATGTGACAAAAATAAAATAGTTTGAAATAAATCAGTTGTAATAGTAAATGTGAATTTAAAACAGACCTAAAGAAGTGATTTTGTCCCAAACTAGCAATTTTCATATTTTCCATACATGTTACAGAAGTGGGTATGGTGATTGTGCTACTCATCATTACAATTGACATGTGGAGTGTGAAATATTTTTTTCATGATCTTCAGGTCAGGTGACAGGTCAGGTCAGGGATATATAGTTTGCCTAAGTTTTCAACTGAATCCTAACTATGAAAAATTATGGAAAAAATGGGCATTTTTTAGGGTTTACCCCTGCCTTAACCAACACATAACTAAATGGGGTCCTGAGGAAGATGGGAGATCAGGGGTTGCGAATTCAAGTCTAAGGCTATTCCTTCACCCTTGTATCAATACGTTTTCTGTTTGACTGTTCAAGGTGGCGTTGTGTCCACTCCTTGGAGAAGATGACATGATTACATGGACGCGTATGTTTTCTGTTTGATCAATATCAGTATCTGGGCAACTGCCCACCTACCCCTCCCCTAACTCAACAACAGTAAATTGATAACAAGTTAAAGTTAATGTTGGGTTAAGGGAGGGGTAGGTGGGCAGTTGCCCAGATACTGATATTGATCCAGTAATTATATATTACTTATGAACCATTTTAAAAACAGTTCAGGATAATGATCATCAAATACGATGTGAAGACAAAAAACAAATACTTTTCTTCATTCCCTACTATTCTCTGGGAGTATAAGGTCCTATCTTAATGTAAATGTGTGTTAAGGACGGATTCTGCCTCAAAAATAAACAAAATTGCAAAAGACAATTCAGCAAGTCGCAAATTTCCCAAATGTTTCATTTTAAAATGCTAGGTAAAGGAATCAACAACATAATAAGGCTTTAAGGAATACATCCCACAGTTCGGGGTTATTTCACAAAGTACTGAATTTGCTATAACTTTGGTATAAAATTATAGTCCAACCTAGACAAAATATCACCCGTTTGATAACACCCCACAAATTCAATAGCAACACCAACTACTGTTGTGATGAATTTTACAGATAAAAGATTTGGCTAACTCTAATTTGTTACTCCATGGTCCTTTTTTTGATGTCAGCCTTTAGTCCATTCAAATCTATTTATAAGGCGCTGTAAGTTTCACGTCACATCTTGGTGAAGTGAAGTCATAAGTGTTTTATTAGCTTCTCAATTGTCCTGTATCGCATGCTATCAGGATCAAGGGTGTAGCCTATCTGCAAAATAAACACCACACAAATATGTGAGGTGGTCACTGTGGATTGTACATCCAGACCGCCATACGATTAAGAATTTACAAAGAAACAAACTAAAAAAAAAATCATTAGACAAAGAATGAACCACATACTTCATCCTGAAATACCATGTATACTGCTCCATGAAGTGTGAAAAGCAATATACTGAAAAGGCAATGAAAGATTGTATGGTTGAGTTTCTGGTCTGAACAAGATTTGAGAGACTGAACTGTTTTATTGATGTATGGTTTTGCCGGACTGTACTGATATATTCAATTTCTCCCACAAAATCAATCTGTAGCACATTCGACTTCGCTCCAACTGCCTGCTCGTTTGTAACTGTTACTTATACAGTTGTATATCATATTACCATATACAAAACATGGAAAGTTGAGGTCAACAATCTATGATTTTCAGACTATGAAGTACACAAGTTTTGTATGAATAAAAATCATTTTTTGAAGTTGGGTTTACCCGCTCTGACTGTGCGTTCTGACTCCTATGCATTATGTAGACTCCGAGTTTATTTTCCATGAGACTACAAGAAAATAAGTCAGAAATAAATGCATGTTAAAACACAAATACAGTAACACCATATAAAACCTTGAAATCCGTACTTTCCTGGACAGATTCATAAACCTATTGCTGTTAAAATGTACTTCACAAAGAAGGAGTTCACCTTATCGGGATTCAATTTCATTGTTTTGCCTGAGGCACGTCTTATTACATAACCAATACAACAAATTCATATTGATCGGTTTCAGAAGAAACCAGAAAATACAAGTGGCCAGAGAAATAATAAGCAAAGTCAAATTCTACTGGGAGATCTAGAAGCTTCCTACAGATATCAGGTAATATAAAAAACCCTGCACACACGTAAATGTCGATAACATAAATAAAAAGATGGGTACTTATTTGTTTTAATTGCGAGTGTTTTCACTAGCTTCCTTGAGACAACCTCGTTATTAGGGCAAAAGAAATATACTTACGCCCCAACTTGCATCTTGTCCACATCGAGTTTTGCAGCCAAGGAAGGAAGAACTATCTGCAACTATAAAGTGAAGAGAGTTGCATAACACTTTAACTCCCATTGGTGACCAAGACAATTTCTCCTTACAATGTCAATGAAATATGAAGCAGACAAGTGATGAGAATAAAGAAAAAAATCAAGCTGACAAGTGATGAGAATAAAGAAAAAAATCAATCAGGGAATTGTTAGCTGATCTAATACCAAATTCTTCAAACTAAAAAATGAGAACTGTATTGCAGACAGTAAAACAAAATTACTTATGAGATCTTGTGAGTGAAACCATCCTTATGTATTACGTAAACCTGTGCAAAGGGGAGTGACGAAACGGGTGGGTGGGGGTGTGGGAAGCCTACAATATAATAGCATACAGGGAAATCAGTAACACTTCTTTAGCTATCGGCTTCGGAGTTGATGGATTGTACAGGACTTTCAGCATTTTGAAGGCGACACAGTATTCAATCAGACAATTAAGATTTGTAATATTACTGACGTACAACCAGTTCGTACAAAAAAAGCAATTAAAATCCTGCCGTACGGTTATAACCAAGGTCTGAAAATCATACAAAATAAATGGTTCTATATTTAACTCATTGTGATGCCGACGGATGCTTCTTTCATCCGGATATCCCCTAAGGCTAACAGAGTAAATAACAATAAGATTGAAAAGCGGCATAGTTAAATAAATGTTACAGGGTAATTTAGTATTATCAACTGAGTTGATGACATACATTGGCCACCATAAAGAGCTTTGAAACTCTTTACGGTGGCCAATTTACGTTATCAACTCAGTTAATAATACAAAATTACTTGGTTATACTCACATAGCAAAGCAGCACCACAGTTTCTTTAGAAACTTACTTCTTTTATTCATAGTTAATGTTATCCTTCAGCAACTATTACCACATCACCAATTGCTTGCGAGGTAAAACCATTTCTTTAGCTGAAATCACACAGTATAAAGTATTCAGGACCATGAGTCGAGACTGAGTTGTCATACTAGTCCACACAAAAAGAGAAATTTGTTATTCATTAGAACTTCTTGACCAGTGAAAATGGGTACATCTATCTGTTTATCTTAATTGGTTTGTCCAGAAAGTATTGGAAACTCTCTCAAAAAGGCCAAAACTCAAACTAACTAGACTAGACTGTCAGCTCTGACTAAAGTCACGTTATATAATTATGAAACTTGTCAATTAGTAATCATAATAAGGTGATGAAATTTTCATACATGTATCTGGGGGGTTTTGCTCCAAACATCATAGGAATTGTAAGGAGATATTAAGGAGAAAAACTAATGAGATGTTGGAAGTTAAATCAAAAATACCAATGAAATAAGATTATAAAGTTCAGCATAATTCCATTGGTTGTAGCCACCCTCACCCACAGCATGATAAAAGCTAATTCAGTAGTGATGACCTGTCTAAATCAATAAACATCCTTGCAATGACAGCATGATTCATACCTCCTCTGAGAAAGGTGAGGTTAGGATGGTGGCATTAAAAGACACATAATGCAATAACACTGTAGCTATGTTCAGACAGTGTACACTACCTTCACGGGGTGAAGATGTGTACCTCATGGTGGGTTCAGTGGTGTGCCATATCAGAGACGGTGGAGGAAGTGGTTTGGGTGGTGCTAAGGGTTTTCCCTTTCTTAACCATACAGCAGAAGGATCACTTAACTTAGGGGAAATCCAGGACTGGTCACTCAAGGAGATTGTCTGACTGCCCCTAATGAAGCAACTCCTTGGCCTGGCACTGGTGTTGGGTTGCCAATGTCTCATGCATTATGAGCCCTCTATCTCTTTCTTGCTGGTCAAGGTCTTGAATCTTTGCCTTTTAACATGTAGCGCTCTTGAGTTTCATCAGAATGGGCAAGGTACCTGGTGCTGAATGAACATGTAAGCCTGCTCCTTGAAGAAAGCAAGACAAGTTGACAGTTGAAAATGTTTACCAATAAGCAAATTAAACCTAAATATGCGGCCCTTTCATTTTATTTCAAGCTTTCTTAGAAGTCAGAGGTAATCAGATAAATTGAGCCATCAAAAAACATAATATGCATAAAATAAAAACCCTCATCTTTAAAGAATCTCGCTTCAGTTATAGTTGTCTTTGACAAGAGCATACAATTGAGAATAATTAGTTAACTGTGGGAAAGACCCATTCAACGGGGAAAAAAACAGCTGGAACTGCCCTGACTGAAGGCATTTAAGAGGGAAAAACTCTTATGGACTGCTATTTGGCTAATTATTGAACATGTACAAAAATTATTCATATCTTTAATGAGGCTAATCATTTTACCAACAAGAGATTCACTTCATTCCTTCCAACTATACTTTCCCTGATATAACAAACACAGTATTTCACACCCCTGATTATAAATATCTACAGAAATATCTAAAAATATAATTTATACCTTCAGTGAGGCTAATTATTTTAATAACAAGAGATTCACTCTGTTCCTTCCAACTATACTTTTGCTGATATAACACATGCAGTATCTCACACTTCTGATCATGATTAAATATCTACAGAAATATCTAAAAATATATAATTCATACCTTCAGTGAGGTTAGTTATTTTACTAACAAGAGATTCACTCTGTTCCTTTCAACTATACTTTTGCTGATATAACACATGCAGTATTTCACACTCTTGTAGTCGGCTGCTTCTTTCCTTGCAACATACATTCTTAATTGCTTTGCCCCACTCTTGATGATCATCTGAATTAATGACAAAGTGCAAACTGAATGGCACTTTCATCAAAGCTTCTCCAAATCCCAATTTTAGACTGACAAGGATGGGTATACCAGCTGATAATGCTTCAAGACCTGTCAAATCAAAACCCAAAACAGGGTTCTACCTCCTCCAGAAAAATAACTGAATGTTGTTGAGAAGGCACTTGTTAAGTAGCCAATACTGCGGACTGCCAGAAATGGTCGATTATCAAACTGCTCGATATCTCCAGTAACAGAATTAATGTCCACTCCATTTGAACAATGCTGAAATCTAACTAAGGTTGTATTGTATTTGCCATATTTGCAATTACCCTCACACTGCTTCCCTTTTCCCTCTTCAGAGGATTCAAAATTCCTAACACCTTCAATAGAGCATTTTGAAGTGGGAGATGAACTTCTTAGTTGCATCTCCAATTGCAATATCTACATTGGGTGGCTGACTGTTGCACTGCAGTCAGTACTTAGTACTTAGTACTGCGTCATTTCCAAACTTCTTCTCATTGACCTCTTTATTTACGCATCTGGCAATAGAGTTACCTGACATTTCACTACACCAGCAGATTGTTTATTTTGTTAAAACAACTTTCAATGGGTTTATGAAGAATATAGTGACATGAACCACAGTTCACATAACTTACAAAATACAATAGATGCTGTGGGAAAACTTCGAAAGACACAGAAACAATATATCTAAGCAATGAACAGAAGAGAAACAAGTAATAGAATTAAAACAAAGAAATAATAACTATACTTAATATTTTGGTTCATTTTAGTCCAGTTGATTGCTTTATACTAGATCTACATCTAGCATGGATTTCAGATGTTCCAGTGGAACACCTGAACACCTGAATACCTAGGTATCTGTGCACATGTTATTAGCAATCAAGCAGGCAACAAGTTATTCCTAGCTTCTAAGAAAGTTTTAGTTTCCTACCACCCACACCATTAGCAATTTTGATTGTTTCTTTATTTCATTCACGTTAGTAATTTATTCCTGATTACTGGACCGATGAGTCATTGTCAAATGTCTTGTATGCAATAGTCTAGTGTGTCATTTATGTAGGATATATATGTTGTGGTTTAATTATATCCTTAGTTCAAATTTTGTTTTCTTTTGTTTTTGGGTATTGTTATGCATGATAATGATTTGAAACAAAGGAAGATAAAATTTGAACCAAGGACAAAATTGAACCACAGCATATACAAATAAAAAACTCCTTGGCCCCAATACAAGCCTCTGTCTGTTGTGGTGTTTAGAAATCTGATTGTTCGAGAGAATTCAATCAATGTACAATAGGATGCAAAGTTGACAGGTTAAATGCAATGTCTGCAGCGACTTAATTTGCATTTATCATGTAGAGTTCAAAGTCGGCTTGGTTTCCAAAATCCTCGCCCACATAGTGTTCGAAAACTTCTGCAAACTCTGAGAGAAGTTTTTGAATTCGGTATTTGGCATGATACCATGAATGATCAAACCCCTTGTCGGTAGAAATAATTCATGATAATTATCAGTAATTACGTTCTCAGGATTTGCATACCGTGGAGTAAACGACAACGATAAATTATTTCATACCAAGAAAATCAAGGGACTATTAAATCTATTCACATTCACAGAGATGAATGTCGACACTTTCGTTTACGCTCGAAAGTTAGTGCTACAAAGACCCTAGTTTCACTTTGTAGAAGCTATTTTGTGAAAAATATGGCGGGGCTGTCCTGGTGTACCGGTACACGGGGGAATTCCTATTGTTTTCATATCCATACATGAAGTTGTGACGCATTCGTTAATGTTTCGTTCCTTAGTGTACCGGTACACGAGGACACAACCAATATGGCTGTATTACCTCCATTGCATGCTTCCTGCAGTTTTGTTCCGCTTCGTCACGATTGCTTGTTGGTGACACAGCTTAACGCTTATCCAAGAAAACTTACAACTTAACGACGGCCATGCTACGTAGAGGTCGCACTAAATCACCTATGAAATACTTTACACAAACGTTACACACACAAACATTTCTAGTTTGCTTTAGAGACTAGAACTACCGATCAGGAAACTGTTCAGTATGTTGGGAAAACCGGAAGTTGCACATAAGCGAGGCTTGATGGCCCACACGAGAGGAGTGGCAAAACAATATGCAAAACATTCATACAAGCTTCCGGTTGTCGTGGGAGAGCACATGAATATCACAAGGAAGTTATGTTAACAGGGTAGCTGTCTAAAATAACTTATCTTCAAAGGTATTCTCTTGTGCTGGAGACAGCTTATTACATATATTTTGCACTTTCATTTTTGTTTCGTGTGGTTAACGTTGGTTTTTTTTTTCAAGCAAGGGTTATAATTCATGATTTTTGATAGTGAGGCTAATGATGATCATAAAAATAACCGAACAGTGAAAATGACGATAGCGAATAATAATCAGGATACAATAATGATACACAATCTTCAAACGCTAATGTTAATAGGATGACCTCAACCCCCCTCTCCCGCCTTTTTTTTTCTTAGTCTCTACCGGAAGCCGGAAGACCTTTCGTAAGCCTAGGAGACCAGTTTGGACAAAATCGTTCCAAAAACAAGTGTATGAATGCTAATTTAGCTGCAACAACTAAAAAGGAACTCTTTCGACTTTACATCTATAACCCTAATGTTGGTTTTTCTCGGCCGGGTTTTGTTGTAGGTAGCGTTCGTTTACCCTGCGGATGGTGATATTGGTGATATCGTGCACAGAATGTTGGCCGTCAGAACAGATCCAACGTTAATGCAATTTTTCTGGTTTTTTCTTACAGAATACTCGAAAATATACATCGAACTTGGATGTGGAAAACCCTTTCAGAAAAAAGTTGATCACTGCTCTTTCACTAGATCAAACGAAGTCTACTCTGCGGGCCGAATCTCCGTTCTCCGCAGAGTAGGCAGTGTTATTTAGAATGCTGTTTTAAACTCTCAAAGCAGGGATTGCTTCACTTGAAAACCAAAAGACACCAGTTTTTCCCCTGACAAGCGGGTATTTTGCATGGCATTTGTGTCATCGCTACATTTATTTTGCGCATATAACGAGAGGATTACTTCACAAAAATTAAAGTTTGCATTGACTCGAAATTCAAAAAAGAAAGTCGTCATAAAATATCTATTTGACTTTACACTTAACGCTCCTTGTTATTCCCACTCAATGTAGAGACAGGGGATTGCATACCGACCGAAATACCTTCCCAGTCATCTCACATTTCTTCCTGGTAGCTTCGAGAAATCTTTTTGCATCCAGCTTCGATTCTCTCTGCTTAGTTTTAAATTATTCATTTTGTTTTCCACACCCTCCAACCTTTCAAAATTGTATGTTTCTGGACTCAAACATTGTGTCTCATTGGAGTAAGAACAAGAATCAGTGTCATGGTCTCAGGTAGAACCCTTGGTTTGACCTATAATAATAAAACGCCAAAATTCAGAAAAAAAAAACATGAAAACCAGATGATAAGACGACTTTATAATATTTTTAAGTAGGTTGGTGTACACGTATGCCACCAATTAAATTTTTGAAGAGTATTCCTTGCAAGAACCAATTTCCTGGTTTTTATTAACTTAGCCGGACGTGATATGATTGTCAATGTCATTGTCATTAACATCATTTCATGATTATAATTATTACCATTATCATTATTATTAGCATTGTTACATTTATACTACACTTGAAAAAAGAGGGTAATAGCTAAAGAAATAAATGAGTTCTGAAAAAGAAATGAGTAACCTTTCGTCATCCACTTCGGAAATTGATTTCTGTCTGATCTTCTGTTTTGAATTTATCTGTAATTGTCGACATTGTTCTACACATTTGATCGGCCGCAACTTTCAGCTTCTCGCGGCCCTCCATGGCGAAAAAAAAAAGAAAGTCTCCAACTCTGACAACTCAACCCTATTCACAAGATAGAAGTTTCAAAGCGCGGAAATTCTTACCGCTCGGCGATAAACTGCACAAACTCGACCCAGACCCCAAAATTAAATGAATGAGTGTAAAATTGAATGAATAGAGCGATTGAATTGAATAAATACAGAAATAGAATTCAATAAAACATAAAAGTTGAATTGTCTAAATACGGACTGAACTGAATGATATAAGAATTGCATTAAGTGGATGCAAACATTAAATTGAATAAATACGGATTGAACTGAATTGTTGCCGCAATTGAATTGGATAAATCTGGATTGAATTGAATGGATTTACACACGGAACTACTTCAACATAAAAATTGAATTGAATAAACTGGATTAAATCACACGAATAAGCATTGAATTGAATAGATATAACGGCAATGAATATTGCTACATTTGTCTTGGCATAATTGGAAGCCTTTGCTCCTATGTCATCTTCTGTAACTGTTATAGAGTAATTGCATTTTATGTATTTTAACACGTGCATTGCAATGTCAGTGCTTTTCCTAAGTGTTGTAACTTAATAATATCATGGTAGATTTAATAATTCATATAGTGTATTTGGTGGTTAGTTTCTAAGTGTTGAGTTTATCTTATAATACCATTTATATATTTGCACGCACTTAAAAAAAATGGATAAGGAGTGCAATATGAATTTCAAATAAGTGATTCGGCTTCCACCGTTGCTTCATCAAACTTGAGTTGATTATGAATTATATTTGGCGTATGATAATTTAAATGATAAAATTTCCGCACAGCCCCGTCCTAAAATATACCTTCAGTTCTTGGATAGAGAAAACAATGACAAAACAATACATTGCCATTGGGAAACAGATTTGTTTTACAATAGAATGGGGCTATGCGGAAACTTTACCATTTAAATTCGATAGAAACATGGGGAGGCTAACAAAGATTTAACGAATTCCGGGTGTCAAATATAATAAAGCTTCAAAGTCGCACTCTCCTTAAATTTTTCGAGCAAATAAGTATACCAGCGTCTCTGGTTAATAATCCAGCACTGACATATCATGGTTTTCTGTATAGGGAAAGAAAAACGCTTACAAATTGCGGAAATCAATCAGTACCGAACTATTTGAATATGTCTACCTCCATTGTTTGTTGCCTACTCCTCCTCTTTTTCATTGTGTGTTGAAAATTTCTCAATAATTCCTTCACAAACATCAAATATTTATCCAAGCCATGCATTATTAAGGTCATGCTAAGTTATCGCCGATATGTATGACTCACAGAAAGTAGCATCATTTGTCGATTTTCCTCAGAAAATTAGTTCAGTCACGAAGTAAGCCTCTCTGACCGGAAACAATCATCAGAGAGAGGGCCTAGTCACGAAATAACTAAAGTGATAAGACAAGGACTGGGACTAGACATAAAGGCGGGGATTGTGGCTGGGAGAGTGTAGCTCTGATAACATACTGAGTCACACAAAATTAACCATTATTTGCTAAGGATATGGTAGACCTTCGCAGGCCAATTTTTTCCCACCTCACCTCAAGTAAAGCATTACTATTTTAAATACAGTTTCCGAGAAAATATTATTATAAAATACTGAAACGCACTCGAGTTATTTCCAAAACATTTTTCCGAGCTGAATTCTTTGAGCCGAAAAAGTGAGAGCCAATAATGTTGTGTCAGCACAAATGGCTCCTGTGATGTTTTGCGTGGTAGAACATCCAGGGTATCAGTCGTATGAAAATCATCGTATTTCAGTCACACGTGTTCATCAAAACATGGAAATAAACTCCCATCGATAAATGTGTACGGAAAACCGTAAGAAAATTTTGTCCGATAACCCCTTTTATAACGTTGAAAATCATCTAATTCAGAACATGTGAATAATTACATACCTCAATCTAAGTGGATATTTCCGAAGTGGTCGCTATGTCGTGACGCCACAATTTGAAAACTATATCGGGCTGTTGATAGCCTATTTATTTGAAGACATTGCGATAATTTTTTTAGCGATGTTTACAGCTTTATTGCCTCCCCATCTGATGTCGGGTGTTTTGATCAAAAGTGATCAGCATATTTCTTTACCTACCCTTTTGTTCGCATTACGATAAACATGCGAATTTCCCTCTACCATCCATATTTTTTGATGGTGAGACTTATGACGATTATAAAAATAACCCAACGGTGGCGATGAAGATAGAAGAAAGAAGATGATAAAACAATAATGATACACAACCTCCAAATACCAATATCAATGGGAAGACTATATCCACTCTCCCCTTACTGAGAGACCTTTTGTATGCCCCAGAAACGATTTTGGATGAAACGGTTCCAAGACAAACTCTAAGAGTGCTGATTTTAGCTGCAGCAACCAGTAGAACAAAACGCATCAAAGGCATGTGACGGGAATCTTGGCATAAAAAAAAGTTCGCTTTAATCCATGCCCTTAATGTTGGGTTTTCTTGGTGGTTTGCCGTATTCTTGGTATTGTTAGTTTACCCTAGGGATGATGAATAAAATATATATCGAGGTTGATTACAGAAAATCCTTTCAGGTAACAGTTGATCAATTATTTTCTCTTTAAATAGATTAAAATAGTGAAATTTGCTCTGCGCGCCGGATCACTGTTCATCGCCGAGTGGGTAAAGTTATTCAGAATGCTGTTCTTAACTATCAAAGCAGAGATAAAGGAAGGGGGAACTGAGAGGATGACGCCATCAGAAGAGACATATTTACACCACTTGACTTGAAAAGCAAAAGACACTGCGCCCTGACAATAGGGTATTTTGCATGGCATTTGTGCCATCATTACATTTATTTCGTTCTTTAAATGAGAGGATCATCTTACAAAATCAGTGGTTTTATCGATGTAAAATTTAAAAAACAGGTCATCAGGTTGCATTTCCTTCAAAGACATGCATGTATAAATATCTATTTGATTTTTCTACTTGATTTTGCACTTATTATCATTCAGTATATCAAGACGTCGGACTACGTGAGCATCGTACGTACAGAAATGCAGTCATGTTACATTTTTTTCTGTTAGCTTCTAAACATCTTTTTGCATCTGCTTTTGATTCTCTAAATTTTTAGCTGAGTTTTCAATCATACATTTTGTTTTCTTTAACTCTCCAACTATATAAAATTCTAATTTTAGCCACCACCGGAACTCAAACAGGTTGTCTTAATGTAATGAAAGTCACAACAAGGATCATGGTCGCCGTCAGAAACAGCTTCAAACTCAAACTCGGGTAGAACACTAGCTACGATCTAAAATAATAAGCCAAAATTCAGAAAAAAACATTACAATCCAAATAATAATACTAGCTGGTTCATAATTAACTAACCCTCTTAACAAAGTGCTCACTTGAAACAAAACTAAAACGTTCTTTGCAATTTTGATAACCCTCAAATATTTTCTTATTTGGTAACTGCATTTATCCGAGCACTCCGTTTTTCAGTATTGTTAGTACCTTTTAGATTTCCTTTCTGTCCATCACCATGATACTCTACTAAAGAGAAGTTTCCCTTGAAAAACATGATTACGTACATGTAACATCTTTTATCGTAAGCTGATTCCTCAGCCTTGTTGGCTGCTAGGTAAGATTTTACAACTATGAATTCGGCCAACGGCTCTGAAAGCAACTTCGCCAACAACAATTTCCCACCTCACACCTTTCCATCTTGAATACCCACGCAGATCAGAAGTACGACTAACAGTCAAATTGGATTTTGAATCAGAGTATTCAAACGGACGTCATCGTCGGACGTAATAGACTACCATTCAAAAAGCACACCACTGAAAAATATTCTGACTATTTGCAAACTATCCTACCTATTTCGAATTATTTGCAATTGATCTCCTTGTCGAAAATGTTTTCTAAGTTTTATAAGAGAGATTCCTTTATAGAAATCAACTCGTTCCCCTTTTCTTCTTGACTATGATTACACTTTATTAAAGTATTCACAGGAGAAGTGACTCTTAAAATAATAAACGGCCTTGCTGGGATAAACTTTTTTCCTCTTCCCGACACATTTCTCATCTGTCCTCCTCTTGTTCAAGCACATCAATTGCTATGAAAGGAAAAAAATCATTTCGATTCAACAAGGTAGTATTGTTAATTTATTTGGGTTCCTTTTTGTATAATATATATCTCTCCAAAATTGCAGCCCCCACCTGCCATCAGACAGGTTGACATTCAGCCCCCACTTGCTATCAGAGAGGTTGACATTCAGCCCCCACCTGCCACAAGACAAGTTGATATTCAGCCCCCACCTACCACAAGACAGGTTGATATTCAGCCCCACCCGCCATCAGACAGGTTGATATTCGGGTAGCCATTGTTATACTGAGGCCCGAGGCCGTACTCTCAAAGCAATTATCGAAAATGGAACAATTTGGACCTCTTTTTAAGAAATGTTGTCACAGCAGCAAGGACGATATAATTAAAAAAATATGTATCCAGTCCAACTTCTTTCAGAGGGAAAAATAGACCAAGTTCCTCCTTCTTTCGATCATAATTCAAATGCACAGATGTCGGTTTCACCCTCGTACTCTTGAGCACAACGTATTCTACATCAGTTTGAGTTGATATTAGCACGGCTAGGAAAACACTTTTAAAAACAATCTGCTAACGGACTTCGGAACTCACATAACAATCCTATTACACATATGTCTCGATTCATCTGTCTTTCAGTCCCAGTCAGTTGTTGGCTTAGATTTGAGTTTGCTATCTTATGATTAGGAGTTCAAACAATTATCCTGTTTTCTCAAAATTCTAAGCACATTTCCTTTTTGTCTTACGGCTTTCACAGGATGTTTTTCATGACTGGAAGTTCTCAATGTGAGCGTAACTTCATAATATTGATAAGGCGGTGCTCTCCTAGTTGTTGAAATTTAGCTCTGGTCAGGGTATTAAGGATAAGGATTATAGTAATAAATGTCTCTTCCGACACTTAAATAAATATTCTTTTTGCGTTTCCTTCCGAACAAACATCCAAGATGGTATGTTTACCTCTTGTGATCATACACGCTTGGTAAAAGAAGGGATTCTCATAACTCTTCGCCTGAACATCAATTAAAATTTTATAATTGTCATTAGCTTCACCTTGCATCCTACATGTAACAGTGGATTCATTATCTGGTTCATCATTCCAAGCGGATATTGAAGAGTCAAGCTTCAAACTACGATTAAATCAAACAACAAAAATACAGACAGACACGATTAATAAATGCAAACCAAACCAAAATAATGGTATTAGCTTGTTATACATCGTTAGAAATCGATTTTCAGTTTTGGTTGACATGCAAATACACTGCACACGGCGGAAGCAGAACATAGTTCGATCAACGTGCAACTTTCTGGTTGCGGTTACTTTCTTGCAACTGCACGATGTATGGAAAGCCGCTACGATACGCACGCTGGTCTTGTACAAAATGGGTCCATATTTTTATGAACCTATTGGATTGAGAACTTTAATGTTCTTTCAGCCATTTACAGAACACCTAATTCAACATATGTATTTCTGAGTAGAGAGGCTTGCGTTTCATAGTGATTTAGTTGATCATCCCGATGGGCTTCCTCCCATTGGCTGTCCTTTTCAAACCTTTGAATACATTTCAAGCATGTATGGTGTGTCTTACCGCTGAGATGTTGACAATCTGGACTTTTTTTCCTCGTCTTTGCCATCTTTAGAGCATTGTCCACTTTCAGGATCGTGGAAAATGGGAGAGAAGCCTTTTGCATAAATCATACATCGTCAAGGTTAAAATAATTATCGTGTTTTCTCAAAATTCTAAGCACATTTCCTATTTGTCTTACGGCTTTCACAGGATGTTTTTCATGACTGGAAGTTCTCAATGTGAGCGTAACTTCATAATATTGATAAGGCGGTGCTCTCCTAGTTGTTGAAATTTAGCTCTGGTCAGGGTCTTAAGGATAAGGTTTATAGTAATAAAATGTCTCTTCCGACACTTAGATAAATATTCTGTTTGCGTTTCCTTTAGAACGAACATCCAAGATGGTATGTTTACCTCTTGTGATCCCATTATTGTACATGCTTGTTAAAAGAAGGGATTCTCATAACTCTTCGCCTGAACATCAATTAAAATTTTACAATTGTCATTAGCTTCACCTTGCATCCTACATGTAAAGTAGAATTCATTATCTGGTTCATCATTCCAAGCGGATATTGAAGAGTCAAGCTTAAAACTACGATTAAATCAAACAACAAAAATACAGAAAGACACGATTAATAAATGCAAACCAAACCAAAATGATGGTATTAGCTTGTTATACATCGTAAGAAATCGATTTTCAGTTTTGGTTGACGTGCAAATACACCGCACACGGCAGAAGCAGAACATAGTTCGATCAACGTGCAACTTTCTCGTTGCGGTTACTTTCTTGCAACTCCACGATGTATGGGAAGCCGTTACGATACGCATTCTGGTCTTATTCAAAATGAGTCTTAATTTTTATGGACTTTTTGGATTGAGAACTTTAATGTTCTTTCAGCCATTTACAGAACACCTAATTCAACATATGTATTTCTGAGTAAAGAGGCTTGCGTTTCATAGTGATTTAGTTGATCATCCCGACGGGCTTCCTCCCATTGGCTGTCCTTTTCAAACCTTTGAATACATTTCAAGCATGTATGGTGTGTCTTACCGCTGAGCTGTTGACAATTTGGACTTTTTGTCTTCGTCTTTGCCATCTTTAGAGCATTGTTCACTTTCAGGATGGTGGAAAATGGGAGAGAAGCCTTCTGCATAAATCATACATCGTTAAAGTTAAAATAATTATCGTGTTTTCTCAAAATTCTAAGCACATTTCCTATTTGTCTTACGGCTTTCACAGGATGTTTTTCATGACCGGAAGTTCTCAATGTGAGCGTAACTTCATAATATTGATAAGGCGGTGCTCTCCTAGTTGTTGAAATTTAGCTCTAGTCAGGGTCTTAAGGATAAGGATTATAGTAATAAATGTCTCTTCCGACACTTAAATAAATATTCTTTTTGCGTTTCCTTCCGAACAAACATCCAAGATGGTATGTTTACCTCTTGTGATCCCATTATTGTACACCCTTGGTAAAAGAAGGGATTCTCATAACTCTTCGCTTAAACATCAATTAAAATTTTACAATTGTAATAAGCTTCACCTTGTATCCTACATGTAGCAGCGGATTCATTATCTGGTTCATCATTCCAAGCGGATATTGAAGAGTCAAGCTTCAAACTACGATTAAATCAAACAACAAAAATAAAGACAGTCACGATTAATAAATGCAAACCAAACCAAAATAATGGTATTAGCTTGTTATACATCGTTAGAAATCGATTTTCAGTTTTGGTTGGTATGCAAATACACCGCACACGGCAGAAGCAGAACATAGTTCGATCAACGTGCAACTTTCTGGTTGCAGTTACTTTCTTGCAGCTGCACGATGTATGGAAAGCCGCTACGATACGCATTCTGGTCTTATTCAAAATGAGTCTTTATTTTTATGGACCTTTTGGATTGAGAACTTTAATGTTCTTTCAGCCATTTACAGAGCACCTAATTCAACATATGTATTTCTGAGTAGAGAGGCTTGCGTTTCATAGTGATTTAGTTGATCATCCCGATGGGCTTCCTCCCATTGGCTGTCCTTTTCAAACCTTTGAATACATTTCAAGCATGTATGGTGTGTCTTACCGCTGAGCTGTTGACAATCTAGACTTTTTTTCCTCGTCTTTGCCATCTTTAGAGCATTGTCCACTTTCAGGATCGTGGAAAATGGGAGAGAAGCCTTTTGCATAAATCATACATCGTTAAGGTTAAAATAATTATCGTGTTTTCTCAAAATTCTAAGCACATTTCCTATTTGTCTTACGGCTTTTACAGGATGTTTTTCATGACCGGAAGTTCTCAATGTGAGCGTAACTTCATAATATTGACAAGGCGGTGCTCTCCTAGTTGTTGAAATTTAGCTCTGGCCAGGGTCTTAAGGATAAGGTTTATAGTAATAAAATGTCTCTTCCGACACTTAGATAAATATTCTGTTTGCGTTTCCTTTAGAACAAACATCCAAGATGGTATGTTTACCTCTTGTGATCCCATTATTGTACACGCTTGGTAGCCTAGAATTTGGGATTTCTAGTGATAAAAATGTCTCTTCATACACCTTTGTGAATCTTCTTTTTGTGGTTCCTTTAGAACGAACATGGTTATGCATAGCAGAGGCTGCAACGACAGCAGTGGATCTAGGGGAATGAGTTTGGCGGATTTGCGAGACCCCAACCCCTCTCCACCACACTACCCCTAACCTTTCCCCACTGTCACACAATTAAACTGAAAATTTTTTTGACAAAAACTGTGCATTGATTATTTGTAAACGACTGAGAAACATTTTAGCGTTAGATGTGTATGGCATTAGACCATGTTGATTTAGCTTATCATTTAGAAAATCGTATGTCTCGAGGACATATAACGTATGATTAAGTCACTCGCAAAGTATGTTTGACTGAGTGTACCTTTAGATCCATGAAGTGGCTCGAACACCCCTGCTTTTTCTAGCAATGTCTCCATTGGTCTCTTTCTTTTCAATACTTTCCGTTCAAACCTGTTAGGGCAACTAAAGATGAGAAATAAAGGAAATAAGATCCAAACCTGATGGTCTGGATAGAGTTAAGATGATTTATTAATTATTATCATCGTGATAGTCAGGGTAGCATGGCGTTTTCCGAACAACTACCTGGTTATCCACTGTAGCGTTAGCAGTGGGTTTACTCGAAAAGCCACCCTGATTTTAACCAAACAGAGCGCTTAAAAGAATACTTCAGGCTATTTGACTGGCTGAACAGAAAGCAACCTTCCGCAGAAATTTTTCTTGCTATGTAAGGTATGTTTTACCGATGAGCTGTTGACAATGTAGACTTTTTACCTTCGTTTTTTGCCATCTTTAAAGGGTGGACTTTCGTGGGTGTCAAAAACGTCAGAGAAACCTTTGCCTTCTTGTAGACCTTTTGCATAAATCATACATAGTTAAGGTTAAAAAATATAAAGAAGCTCGCATTTTATAGTTTCTATCACATTTACCACGAGGCGCTAACAGAAATATTGATTACATAATGTTAAGAAGCTTACGTGTTACCCGAGTGTAATCCCAAATAAAATACAGAAGCCGTTACACCCCTCTTCTTTTTTATTAAAATATAATCGTTTGTCTCACGATGAAGTCGGCTCCATGTGGATCGCAATGTTTTGACTGCATACTATTAGTCGTCTAGTTCCTTATCGCCCGAACCTCCTCCGTAACAAGTAAAGTCCCTCAATTTGGTTGTAAAGAATTTAACATTCCTCGAACCGTTGTCAATTTGAAAACGTTGCAACTTCTTCCAGGGACATATTTGCATGACAGGGGCATCTGATTCAGACCTCAGACGTTGACAGGACATCGCTCGCAATGCATCTTAATATGTTTACTTCTCGTGATCCCCATTATTGTTCGCGTAAGGTAAAAGAAGCGACTCTCATAATTCTTCGCCTAAACATCAGTTAAAATGTTCAGTTGTGATAAGCTTTGCAATTCCTTAGATAGAAGATGGAAAAAACTTCACCTTGCATCCTACCTGCGGATTCATGACCAGCTGATTCATGTTCCCAAAAAGGTATTGGAGGCATAGGCCTGAAACTACGATGAAATGAAGCAAGCACACAGGCCACTTTGATCATGCGCAACATAAAAATTGTTTCAGTTAGAGACACAAAAAGAGGCAGAAGAAAGTCTAGATAAAGAAAACATACACGATTCACAAGGATTTATGTATTGTGCTGCAAATTCAGTTAGCTTTTCCTCCCGGCTCTCGAAATAACTGAGTCATTCTTGAATCTTAAAAAAAGGTTTTTATCTTTTTTGCTATTTACTAAATCGTTTTTTCACCAATCTGGTTCGGTTAAGATGGCTGGATATGGGCCTCTTCCTTTTTGCTTTTTTACTGACCTTGACTTCGTTTCGGTCCATAAAAAAAGACCTCCATCAATATCCAGCCATCTTAACCTCACGCTTGGCTAATAACGCATATATACTTACGAAGTAAAGCGTTTGAATCAGATCAAGAACATGCATGTTTATGGAAATTTATTATGTATTTGTCAGAAAAAAAAAATTTCAATTTGTACGAGGAAAAGAGGAAACTTGTAATAATTATGGAGATAAAACACTTAGACATGTCCTGAAATGGCAACTGCTTCTATTTGACCACTTAGTTTTGAAGTATTTCTTTCATTATCAATGTCAGTTCTTCCCGTCATGGTGTAGCTCTTTGTGATAAGAAGCGTGTCATGCATACCAGAACTGTCACTAAACAGTCGGAAACAAGTTCACATCAGAATAGTTATTCACAAATAGACGGATATCTTCGTTGCAACAGACGTTCACGTCTCTGAGAATAGTTTATAAAAATAAACTTAAATCAATAGTAGGATTGGCTACTTTTGCGAGATTCAAATAAACAACCTACTTCCAAATGTTTTCAGTTAATTCTATTGCTTAAAAATTTTTTGCCAACCAGTGAGGGTGATCCCATAACACATTGGAATTTCTTTTTTATGAGTAAGCTTGCCTAAAGGATTAACGATAAAGGTAACCCTTATAGGGGTCCTATAGCAATGAACATACCTTGCTAAGGTAGGCTTTTTTCCTAGGCGTGACAAAAGTCTTTTGCGAAGGACAGAG